CATGGCTAGCCCTGTTAGTCATAACCAGGTTGGGTACTCCTACCCATGTTGAACCATGTTGAACCCAGGAGGGTACTTGGAGGATCATCAGTGGGATGATCCTCCAAGTAATGGCTATTTTAGTTGTTGTTTACACCGGTTGTTGTTTCATGAGTTGCTTATCTTCCCATTGTGATGATAATATCATGTAATGATGATATGATATGATATGATATGATATGATATGATATGATATAATATGATAATATGATAGTTGGTGATTATCAGTAGTTAACCAACTAATATCAACCATAGCAATACTTGGGGGAAGGGATGAGCAGTTTCCGCGACGCGTGTTCTGGGGGAAAATCACAGGACATGAATCTGGTCAAAATATCTCGGAAATATATGAGGATTTAACCAACAATGGGAATATCATGGGAATACAACCAATATTCATTGGATATGTGTATGTATATATATATATATGTATGTATGTATATATATATATATGATGTATATATATATATATGATGTATATATATATATGATGTATCTGGCTGAAAAAAATATTAACTCACTCACCTGAAAATCACTGAAATGTAGGGCCATTTGAGGATGATTCCCCTTATCAATCATTCCAGTGACATCAAAGTGAAGTCGTTATCATTCATCCAGATGCCATTCATCATCCGTTTTCTTACTGGCGTCTATATATAATTACGGCAAAAACCTGGGTTTTGCCCGGACCCGCAATGACGACGGGCGACGCATCATCATCATCATCATCATCATCAGCATCATCAACATCATGATCATCAACATAATCATCATCATCATCAACATCATCAAACCCTTATTGACGATCTTCAATGAATGTAGAAGTTTAACGCGGGTGGGAGAATTAAACCCTTATTGGAGATCTTCAATGAATGTAGAAGTTTAACGGGGGTGGGAGAATTAAACCCTCATCAAAGATCTTCAATGAATGTAGAAGTTTAACGGGGGTGGGAGAATTAAACCCGTATCGAAGATCTTCAATGAATGTAGAAGTTTAACGGGGGTGGGAGAATTAAACCCTTATTGAAGATCTTCAATGAATGTAGAAGTTTAACCGGGGTGGGAGAATTAAACCCTTATCGAAGATCTTCAATGAATGTAGAAGTTTAACGGGGGAGGGAGAATTAAACCCTTATTGGAGATCTTCAATGAATGTAGAATTTTAACGGGGGTGGGAGAATTAAACCCTTTTGAAGATCTTTCATGAATGTAGAAGTTTAACGGGGGTGGGAGAATTAAACCCTTATTGAAGATCTTCAATTAATGTAGAAGTTTAACGGGGGTGGGAGAATTAAACCCTTATTGAAGATCTTCAATGATATTGAAGATCTTCAATGAATGTAGAAGTTTAAAAGGGGTGGGAGAATTAAACTTATTTAAGATCTTCAATGAATGTAAAAGTTTAACGGGGGTGGGAGAATTAAACCCTTATTGAAGATCTTCAATGAATGTAGAAGTTTAACGGGGGTGGGAGTTTAATATTCCCTAATATCTTTGTTGATCTTCCCAATTGAATGTAAAGTTTAACGGTGGTGGGAGTTTAATATTCCCTAATACCGTTTTTGTTTTTCCCATAGGAACTTCGGGTGTTTTGACATGTTTTTAATATAGTCCCTAGTACCTTTGCTGTTTTCCCCATAGGAATTTAAGGTTTAACGGGGGTGGGAGTTTAATATTCCCTAATATCTTTGTTGATCTTCCTAATTGAATGTTAAGTTTCACGATTTGACAGTTTAAAATTTCCTAGTACCTTTGTTGTTTTTCCCATAGGAATTTCAAATGTTATGCCGTTTTTGTTTCTCCCATAGGAATTTTGGGTGTTTTGACCTTGTTTGTTTAATAATCCCTAGTACCTTTGTTATTTTCCCCATAGGAATTATGGTAATTTGCAACATCATTTGTTTGTGAATGGGAAACCTCTACGCTGCAACGCCTGGGCAAAACCCAGGCGTTGCGCGTATAATTATATATCATACCTGGGTTATTATTATGTTATTTCACTAACCTGAATAGTTCGTCCATAAAAGGGGGTGATTTTCTGCAAATTAGCAATAATTCCGGTGAGGGACAACAGTGAGGTCGTTATAATTTACCCAGATATATGTATATATGTATATACCATCTGGTTATTTAACATAGCCATGGAAAATCACCATTTTTAATAGGTAAACCACCTATTTGTTTAAACATTTATGGATAATGCATTTCATTAGATTAACAACGTATATTGTTAGAATAATGTTTCTTCCATGGCTATGTTAGTCATAACCAGAGGGTAATTATATATTATATACCCATATCTTTGGGACAAATCCGAGCTCTCAAGTCCTGGTTAAGCCCAGTCAATCAGGTCGAATCCCCATGGCCAAACCTCGTGCGATCCCATGGAGGTAACGACGAACTACTTATTCTGGTTGGTGGTGCAATAACCATCTTGAAAAATATGAGTTCATCAATGGGAAGGATGACATCCCATATATGAAATGGAAAATAAAAAATGTTCCAAACCACCAACCCGTATTAATTACGATCAACAAGAATGTTGAGGATTACACTCATTAAGGATTTTATGATGTAACTGATTTACGATATTATCATATGTATATAATAGACAATTGTCTTTGATCATCATGGATCATCTCTTTTTTTGGCTTCTCATTCCCCGGTGTTTCTTTGAGTTGATTCGCAAATTCAGCACTTGTGATGTATACTATCGATGATATACCAACAATTGTATCAACTTTGTACCAACAAGTATACACTAGCAATAAAAACAACTGGTTATACAATCTAATACATATTATATGAAAAATTACATCAAATTCTATGCTACTGTATACTATACTGGACTGTACTTTTACCATACCATACTATGCTGTACTATACTACACTACACAATACTACGCTACACTACACTACACGATATTCTGTCTAACTGTAGTATTGAGACTTTGATACCAATCTTCGACATTTATCACAATAGTACTACAATACTCATATTAATCTACTAGCTGGTTATAATTAGTGTATCACTGAGTAAGACCTATATAATATAACTTTGTATATCATATGTATATATATATATATACGTATATATATATATAATAGATAGTAAATATACTATAATATACTATTGAACCGCATTGAATTCTAGGATTGTTTTGTTTGCCCTCCTTGTCACTATTTCCGCTGGTAACGCCTGGCAGGGTTTGCTCTGCCACTGCTTCCTGCAAGCTTTGATCCAGGTGTCGCAGGAACAAATTGAACTAAGAGGATTCAATAGTATTCCATGAACCAATGTCCTATCTTTAACTCCATGTTTTATGAGTTTTATGGTTCACCCCCAACTCTTGGCCAGTTTAATGGGGATTTTCATGCGGTTTAATGTCTGGAAAAAGAGAATAAGCCAGGATATGGCCGGTTTAGTGTTTGGAGAATGATGATTAACCAGTGGATACAATGGGCTACCCTGTTTTCAGATAAATCCATCTGTTTCATGGAATAAAATCATCTGGACATGGATATATAGATATGCATAAAGGTTGTTCATGAAAATTGTCCGTTGCCTTGTTGGCAAAATCCAAACCAACGTTAAATTTCACACAGGACCTTTTTTTGATCCAAAGATTCTTCAAACGCCTCAAAGGCCGACACGGCTCCAGTTCGTTCTTATGGAAGGACTTGTCCATTGGTTTCGTTATGGATCAAAGCGGTTGGGCATAAAGATGTCCAAATCATGGCGTACTTTCTGTCGTACTATGGTCATGAAATCCAACCCTAAGAGAGCAGAGCGAAAGCTCTTCGCGTGCGTTTTTGGTTTGGATCACCAATTTGCAACCGTGAAAAAACCCATGGTTTTTTTTTCCTGGAAAAGTCTCATCAAAGCTCAATCGGATTCAATCCCAGGATCTGCCCAGAGACAACTCGGCTGGAAAATTCCCGGAGGTTTCAATGAAAAAATCATCTGTGGGTCATCTGCCATTGCACGTTTTACCGGAGGAGAGTTCGAATTACCGTGTCTTCCCACAAAAAACCTTCATGGCTTTGTCTGAAAATGGGGTATACTCTTAATCATATAGCCATTGAGTAGGGGAAACTATGATTAGAATGGATTTAGGGGTACCAAAAAAATGCGGACAAAGCAGAAAAAAATGATGGTTCAACGGTTCGCTGTCCCCAAAACAAAAAAACTGGTTTCATGCAGCAACCTTTCACCTGATCCCATCGGGGGGGTGTTCAAGTGAACAAAAAATCGTGTCCGATTTTCCAGTTCTCATATTTTTTTACAGATTTTTGGGACGACTTACCATATTTTTACATATGGATGTGGGTCAAAACCCCCTCCAGTGAACCTCAAGGTTGATGGTCATCCCTGAAAAACCACATGATTTCTAGGTTTTGACCCATACCCATATCTTACCATATGGGTGTGTCTGAAAATAGTGTACCCCTAAACCCAATGGTTAATGATCATTATCCCTATTAAATGGCTATAATTGGGAATATACCCTATTTTCAGACAAACCCATATTAAAACACAGTTAAATTTCCATGGCTTTAGCCAGGACATGCCGCTAGCCTGGCGAAAGGTGAACTTGGGATGTTGTCGTGGCAACGCCATGACGGTGTGATCCAACAGGAACACCCGGCTGCCTGAGCACCTGGAAACCATGGCCCGTTCAAAAGGCCGCCGGGATGGTGGGTTGATGTTTTTCTCCTCAATGGATTGGTTTTCACGGGAAAATCTGAAAAACCATGGGATTTTCCCATGAAGATCATGGGGTCTCCTGTCATTTTTCCCTTAAACCAATCCATTGAGTTGGTTTTTTTCAAATATGTTCCGACAATTGTGACTTTACTATCGTTTTTGGGATTGCTGAATTCATACAACTATCATGTAACTGCCAGAAATAGTGATTTAATAACTATACATAGTAGATGTGGATTTGATATACTTATTGTTCATCATATTTGATCAATTCAGGACAATAATTCTGTGCGCAATCAGCAAAAACCGGGAATACAACTAACCATGAAACTGTCTAGTTGATGAATTGGCACAGATCATGTCAAACTGGTGAGTGTCTCCCATGTTTGTGGGTTCAGTGGGTTTGGGTTCGGTTTACCTGCAGTTTTTTTTTGGTTCTACTATTAGACTACATATTGCAACTAATTCATACTCTGTTTTGTTGCTGGTCAAAACCCACATGTTTTCAGATTATGCATGAATATATATATATATATGTATGTATATATACATGTATATGTATATATATATATATCATTATATATATATATATCATATCATTATATAAATATATAATATATCTATATGGGTAAATAATTCACGAACCTGAAATGTTCGGCTGATTATTAGTGGGATCATTCCAGTGAGAATGACGGTACGACGGTCGTCTCTCGGGGCTCCAAGGCACGCGAGCTCCCATTCGAAGTCCACGTTGGTCCCTACGCCATAACCTGAGAAGCAGAATCCATACGCTGAATCCATGGGAGAACCTGTAACTAACATAGAAAACCATGGAAAACCCATGAAAACCCAGCATTTTTTAGATACATAGATGTGGAACCCAGCATTTATGAATGATTATGATATAGATGATGTTAGTTTCCTAACACCCAACTTGATACTGTGGATGGTTGCGAAATCTTGCACCACCTTGAATGGTTGAAAGCCTGTAAATAACGATGTAAAATGATGTAAAGCACCAATCAACTGGTGCAGGATTTCGCAACCATCCACAGTATGACCCTCCTGTAAACTTTTATATACATAGATTTGGAAAATGGGGGTTCCGCATCTATGTTAGCTTATCGTAGGGTATATGTTTGTATAATGGAACACCACACAATGGATAATTGCATACACAATTGCAGCAGAATATGACGCATATATACTCGAGAATTAGAATGTACAATAACCTGATTCATAATTTATATAAAATGGAAAGATACTTTTGGAGGAATGGAATGACTCAATAACATCATTAACAAATGCCAATATATTAACGGACATACACTTAGAAACAGAGTCTATACTTAGAAGATCAAAATAAAAGAATATTGGTGTCTAAGTACAGACTTAGACTTAGACCATAAAACCATTGTTTTTTTGATGCACTTAGAACATCTCCAAAAAAATGATGCCATGTGCAGCCATGTGTTCCAAGTGTGTTTCTGTGCATGGAATCAGGCATTAGGTTACTTAATGTTACTTTCACATGTATTGTTCCTGCCCAAAAATGCGAAATAATGCAGGGAACAAATTGTCATGGGTTTTTTACATGTGCTATATTAGGTTGACGGACGGACATGCACTTAGAACATTCATACGGTCCCCCTAGGATGTTCTAAGTGTATATGTTTGGGATGTTATTAATGTACATCCCCGCTAAAGAGCTTTTAAACAATGTTCTAAGTGTATGTTTGTCGTTACAATGCTGTGGCGAAATAGCGACTATTGACTCTTAAGAAGGGACAAAGAACCAATGGGAAATAATCGAAGCAATTCGATAGCGAATTATATTCATCATTTAAGTGTACTCAGAACTGTAGTGATTTGAAAACAAATCAGAACTGTTGGCTCGAGAAGCGAGAATGATGGACTTGATGGAAGAATTGAGTCAATTGACCTGTCGAAACTTCTTCAAACAGTTTGTGGTATGGTTGGTGATGCCACTGGCTAGTCACCACGAGTTGAACTGGAACTGGCATCCCAGGTGGTACTGCCTTACATGGGATTTATGGGGTACGGTCATCCCATCATTGCGGATTCATTGTAACGAGTCTATGTATTTGTATATATATATATAATTATGTATATATATATATACATATATAATTATGTATATATATATATATATGATTATATTTGTATATAAATGATTATATATGTATGATTATATATATATATATATGATTATATATGTATATATAATTATGTATATATATATATGATTATATATATATCATTATATATGTATGATTATATATATATATGATTATATATGTATATATGATTATGTATATATATATGATTGTATATATATATATATGATTGTATATATATATATATGATTGTATATATATGATTATATATATATGATTATATATATATGATTATATATGTATGATTATTTATATATGATAATATATGTATATATAATTATGTATATATATATGATTATATATATATATATGATTATATATATATGATTATATATGTATGATTATATATATATGATTATATATGGATATATGATTATGTATATATATACATGATTATATATATGATTATATATATATATATGATTATATATATATGATTATATATATATATATGATTATATATGTATGATTATATATATATATATGATTATATATGTATGATTATATATGTATATATGATTATGTATATATATATATAATAGAAACCTCCACAAAAATCGATTTGAGCAAAATCCTACTGAAAAAGTGTGTTCTTTCCTTTTGGGGCTTCCTATACAGACCATGGGCAGAGTGTCCATCCCCAGGCCCCAAAATGACCATGGCTTCTACTGGTGGAAGAGGATAGGGAATAGAACCCTGTAAAAATCCGCCCACACCGCTTTGGCGGTGAAGGCGTGCTTATTGGGGGGCAACAGCAACACTAAATGCTCAATGACATTTGTTAATATAGCAGTCGCTATATCAGCTTTAGCTGGGGGGGGGGGCAAAAACGGTTTCGCACCGAGACCAGACCCCAAAAACGGTTTCGCACCGAGACCAGAATACGGTGGTGTTTTCGACATTTTTCGAGGATTTTTGGGTGTCTGAGCGCAAGAGGGTATTGAAATGGAATTTTGGGTCATTTTGGTAGCTTTCCGGCAATCGAAAAATGGCCAAAAATGAGGGTTTTTGGATGCCAGAGCATTGAAAACACTAGCAAGATTTTGCAGGGTGTTTTGGATGCCAGAGCATTGAAAACACTGTCAAAAGCAATGTTTTGGAAGGATTTACTGCCTTTATGGCAAAAAACGTGTAAATTACCGTCTGTTTGACTGGAAACATTGGAAAAACACTGTCAAAAACAATGTTTTGGAAGGATTTCTTATTGAAACTTCTTAGCTTGAAGAGCCCCCACGGGGGAAAACCACCCTTAGCCCCTCTCACGGACCGAAATAAACCTGCGGTGTGGGCGGCCACCCCACGCGAAGCGGGGTGAATATAGAAATTTATTGGACATATATGGAAATCTATAGGAAATATATGGAAATATCGAATCTATAATAGGAAATATATGGACGTTTCCATAGTCATGATGGTACCCCAAGCTCGCTGGATGGTTTATTTCATGGACATGTTGAAAATGGATGTCTTGGGAGTAACCCCCATGGATTGGAAACTGAAACATTTGGAATCCTGTACATTCAAATTACCATCTGGTTATTTAACATAGCCATGGAAAATCACCATTTTTAATAGGTAAACCATCTATAAATGGGCCATTTTTAATATGGGTGTGTCTGAAAATGTCGTGTACCCCTTTTTACCCAATGGTTTTGCTGATCATTATCCCGTTTTTAAATGGCTATTTGTTTGGGAATATACCCAACATTTTCAGACAAACCCACATTCAAATTAAATATGGCCTATTTTTCACCTACTGGTCATGTCACTTCTTTTTTGAACCCCCCTCTAAAACCAAACGCACTCTGTGTGCACTGGCAGCTCCACCAAAGAACTGAGCAAGTACTTGCACAAAGGTCGAAAACCATGGTCAAAAACAACGTAGCCTGCGACAGCTGAGAAGTACTTCAGTACTTCTGGGGATATGGGTGTAATTGAAGGGGAAACGTGCGGCAAAGCTGGGGAAAGAATGTGTGTTCCGGAAACGCGGGTAATTCCTAGAAACCAGTTCCTCATCATTTAACCAGTTGCTCATCATTCCCATGGTTGTACTTACAATATAATCCATATCAAACTATATACTTGTCATTCAACCATCAGTTGCAACAGAGTGCATTGCTATTCATTGCTCAGACGGAGACAGGGTCACCCCAAGCACTGCTTTGTTTCCAGACGTGGGAATCCAAGCTGTGAAAAAAAAACGAGTAGAATGAGAATGATTGGTTTTGTTGCGTGACTCCTTCATAAATCCAATATAAATCTCAAATCAATCCCACATCAATCCCATAATTCTATCATCAGTCCCATACAAATGTCATATCAGTCTCATAAATCCCATACAAATCCCACATCAATCCCATAAATCCCTGTATTTTTGGCTGGTTCAATGAAGAATGGCCATCCGCTGGCGCCTCCATCGGCTCTGGGACCCATGCGTTTCAAGCGCCGCGTCTCATGCAGCCGCAGTGCTCTGACCAGACGCAAGGCGGCCAAGGCGTCCGCGGGACTGGGGAGACAAGGGACGGAAGTCATCAACTTATGGTTATGGTTATTTGGGGATGGGTCAAAACCCTGGTACCTTCTGTTCACCCCAAGTCATAGCTGGGATTTATGGATGTGAATAACCCACTAAAAATGTATCTATAGGTATTGACCCATACCAGGATCCTAAATTGGAGGTACCTACCATATATAAGGCCTATTTTTTAGGCCTATTTTTCGGGAATATCCCCAGAAAATATGGCCTAAAATATGGTTATCCTGGAATTGCCATGGACTTATGGTTATTTCATGGAAAATCCATCGATGGATGATTTAGGGGTACCCCGATTTTTGGAAACCTCCATATTTACCTGGTTGGTGGTATACCTAGCCCTCTGAAAAATGATGGAGTTCGTCAGTTGGGATGATGACATTCCCAATATATGGAAAAATAAAAATACCCTCTGGTAAACGTTAACATAACTATGGAAAATCGCCATTTTTTAGTTCGGTAAATCAACGAACTAAATGGGCCATTTTCAATAGCAAACTGTTAGTTTAACAGAGGGTATGGCAATCCTTTGGTTACCCTCCGGTGTCATCATGGCAGCTGGAAATCCCAGCTTTTGCCAGTAAATGGAGCTTTAAATAGGAAAATCAACGAACGAAAAAAAGGCGATTTTCCAGGCAGCCACGTTTGATGACCAGAGAGTAACCATAGTTCTATCCCCCATAAATTGGGAATTTCACCAGGGAAAATAACATGATGTTTTATTGGATATTTAACATGGAACACCAGTTGGTCAACCATACTGATGGAAGTCTGACACCAGTTGAAAACGCTGAAAAAAACATCCCATTTTTGGGGGTTTCAACCATCTATATAAGGGGTGCAGGAGTTAGTTTATAGGGTTTTTATAGGGTTTCCTACCCTCTGGTAAACGTTTACATAGCTGTGGAAAATCACATGTTTGAGTGGGTAAATCAACTAGAAATAGCAATTGTTAATAGCAAACTGTTAATTTACCAGAGGATATCCCCGGAAATCCTACTCAATATAACACCACCAAGGATAAATGAATAGTCAATAATATAACAACAAGGGTTATAGCAATCCCATCCTCGGATGAATATTTAACACCTCCGTACACCACCTATACAAATAGTCCAAATATGTGTAAAAATCCTACTCAACCACAGTTTCTGGATCTTTAATACTAGGTGGACGGGATTTAACAGCAGCTTCTGATTCTGTTCATCAGCATCATCAAATAAACGATTTGACAGAACCCGTCGTGGCTTCTAAATTTCACATGTTGCACATGTTTTGTGGATGAAATCCCTGAGTCATCCCTCAGATTGAAATCGATAATGTTTATGAACATGTTGATGATGTTGTTGATGATGATGATGATGATGATGCTGATGATGATGATGATGATGATGATGATGCTGATGATGATGATAATAATGCTGATGCTGATGCTGATGATGATGATGATGTTTTGTTTATACATGATATAACCTCTGGTGATCAAACATGGTGATGAACAGTTCCTCAGTTATAGAGGATTGCTCATGAAAATCTCAGTTTATAGAGTATGTCAATTGCCACGTTTGATTACCGGAGGGTAAATGGGTAAATGGGAATTAAATTGGATTTAAGTCAGCAGCAAAAATCAAAAAACAACTATAGCCGTAACGAGCGTAACACAGCTCAGGATTTGTTAAAAGAACTACCCTAGGATGTCATGAATTGGATGTCAAAAATGTATGCGTTTTTGTTTCCTCCTGGGTCCTTGGGTTTTGGTCAAGTGCAACAACAATAATAATAACAACAACAACAACAACCGCACGATCATTAGAGCAATTGATACTGGGCCCTGAATATCACCTTAGCCACCTTAGCCACTTGGCAGCATTTGAGGATCAAACACAAAAGGTGGAGAGGTTTTTAAGCAACAAAAATGTGGAGCCCTTGGAGAAGACTGAGTTTTGATGGGACTTCAAAGAGTTGTTCGTTTGGGACTCTTTGTGGCTTGGAACATCATAGATATGGTCCGTTAATTCGAAAACCCAGGATATTTTCTCTCACAGAAATCATCAATTGGGTGGTAGATAAACAAATTACTGTAGCCCTTCGCCCACCTCTCCGGTTGCTGGCAGAAAGCATTCACCTGCGGGGGGGACTCTGTCGTCAGAGTCTTGAAAACTGGAAAAAAACGTGAACTGTTGGGGGATTTCGTAAGGAGAAGGATGCGGTTGCTGTGGAAATGGGACGCTTACCACCAACAAAACTTAGGATTCAGATGGATTTAGCGGGATTTCAGGTGAGAAATTGGGGTGTTAGCCAACAAATCGCTAGACTTGACCGCAAGAAACACGAGAATAGAAGATATATGAAGTGGATTTTGGCCAATCAACATCTCCAAACCTTGCACGCTGTAAGTTTGGAAGACGAAAGGTGGAAACAATGCCATGATTTGCACGTCTGGAATTGAATCACTGCTTGGATGTGCATCCCATTCCCAGTGATACATAGAAAAACTTCCAGGTAAATGATAATCTGGTTGGTGGTATACCTACCCCTCTGAAAAATGATGGAGTTCGTCAGTTGGAATGATGAAATTCCCAATATTGATGGAAAAATAATCCAGTCATGTTCCAAACCACCAACCAGTGTTATTTATGGTCAATGTATGTACTCTATGGTTAATCTATGTTCAATTTATATGGTATTTATGGTTAATTAACCATAGATATAACCATATTTCACTAACCTGAAATGTTGGGCCAGCCATGGGGATGACTCCCCTATTATCATCCAGGAGATCATCTTCAGCCTATTTTTTTTACGTTGGCTTTGCTTTTGTTGGGGATGAGAGAACTCATCTTCCAAACTACATGTTTCGGGATGTCTAGAGTCTGGATGCTAAGCCTAATATACTCGCAGTCCAATACCAGCTTATTTCAACTAAGAATGTTACACCCTTCATCCTGAAGCCATGTAGAATCTCCATAACATCCCCATAGATTCTTCATTCCATCACTATCTCCTGCAGGAGCCCATTGTCTCCACCAAAAATTATCACCTCCTCTTGCAACATCTGGTGCTGCTTGGAAAGTTCTCGGCAGTAGTCAAGCTCCATCCTGTCGCAAGGGCCCCATGGCTGAATTAGGATTCTGAAATGGGATATACCCAATGGCCATGTAAATGGGAACCTGATAATCAAGCATCAATCATTTTGGGGGATATAATTAGTACGGATCTTAAAAACTGACTTTGTTTGGCGATTAATCATCAATAAAGGGGGACATAATGGTGGAATATGATGAGGATACGATAGGCATATAACCAACAATATGCTTTTCGGGGTTGCCTGAACATTTTTGGGGAAAGCCAACAAATCTGATGGAATTCATCAACAAGAATGGGGATATAATGGGGAAACAAGTTATGGGAGATGCTGGGGACCGGGATACCAAAAAAACTGTTCCAACCAACATGTCGGAAAAAAAAAAACATGGGGAAACAAGTTCGGAAAACGAATGAAAATGGAAAATGATCTACATTCATGCTGTGTTTTCCACATCGTAAACCTTTACAGGAGGGAAGCCTATTGATGACGAGCCCGTGAGGTCGTGGCTGGGCCAATTTTTTGAAGAGGCACTGGAGAAAAAACACATCCATGAATAGATGATGTTCCATCCTGGATTCTGTAAAATCATATTAAAAACATCCATAAATAGATGATTGTTCCGCATGAATCATGTTTTTTCAAACATCCATTAAAATAATCATATATGTTCCCGCATGTTTCGAGAGAAACTCATGGCAACAATCATCACATATATGATGTGCATTTTGATTGTCCCAAATTGCCCCATCATTTCCGGAGCTTTCCCCATTCAAAGCTGGGAAAATCTCCGTGTCGATCGCCAAAATTCAACCGGCCTTGAAGCAGAGGACAGAAATTTACAGCCCAAGAGCTAGTGGATTGTCAGTTAGTGTAATAATCCCCTATATGGTGAGTATCATCTCCGAAAAAATCGAGTTGAACAAGTTGAACAAGTTGAACTGAGCCATTCAAAATACCCGCTGGTAAACTAACAGTTTGCTATTGAAAATGGTGATTTATAGTGGATTTACCCATTGAAAATGGTGATTCTCCCATCAGTTGTGTAAACGTTTTCCTGAGGGTATATATAATGTCAACCCTGGATTAATTAATAAACCCCAAACGGCTGTTTAATTGGGGGGCTATCATTTCTGTATCAGATTATGACTCTTGGGGAAGTACCTCCCTAATTAATAAGCTATGGCATCTATGGTTTATTCATCCGGGGTTGACATTATACATATAGTCGTACTATACAGTCATCCTGAAGTAGATAGGATATCGATTCTTCAATATCATTCCCATTGTAATGAGGATTTTGTGAAATTATCATAGGCTATCTACTCCAGGATTACTATATACACATAGTGTAGGTATATATATATATATATGTGTGTGTGTGTGTGTCGTAAATCAATTAAATGATAATGTGTTTCTATTATCATTATGCATGATTATGTATGTCTAAAGTCAGGATATCATGAAATACCTCATATATTTCTCAAAAATCAGGATATTCCAAAAAAATACACCATCATGAGGCTGTTATGGTGTGTGCAAAAAAAAGCGCACCCAAAACTGCCATAAGGTCGTTCTGAATATACAAGCCCATCAAAGTTGATCCTCTATGAATCCATAATTATGAATATATACCATCCATATATATATATATATATAAAACCATACAAAACTATATAAAAAACATATAAAACCCATGTAAAACCCATATAAAGCCCTATAAAACCATACAAAAACCATATAAAGACCATATAAAAAGCATATAAAACCATGTAAAACCCATATAAAGCCCTATAAAATCATACAAAAACCATATAAAAACCATATAAAACCCATGTAAAACCCATGTAAAACCCATATCAACCCCAGTTTATCATCCCTTAAAAAACAGCACCGGTCCCGGATCTGCCTCCGGACCCACTCAGCCAGCGGCTGCGTGCGCCGCTTCAGCGCCGCGTAGCCGCGGCGGAGCTGGGCAGCGGCCTGGTGGGATGGTTACCTTCTGGTCATACCAAGAACTACGGAAAATCACCATGTTTAAGAGGTACCCTCCAGTAAATTAACATAGACCCTGGCAGTCATCGGGGTTGGAAGACTAGTGTCCACTAACAATTGGTGATTTTCAGGGTCTATGTTTATTTACCAGAGGGTAAATCAACTATTTCGACTGGGCCATGGTTTCAATAGCTATGTTCAATTACCAGAGGGTAAGATTGGCGAATTCATTGGTTAATACTGGCATATACTGGCTAATCGCATTCGCTATCCATAAATTCGATCAAATGGTGGTTCAACACCAGTTACTCGGTTGACTATTTCCCCCGTATATCTGGACGTTGCCCGGCTCCTTACTCTGCTTATGATTGAAGCTACAATAAACTGAGACGAGGTACCAAATATACCATCTGGTTATTTAACATAGCCATGGAAAATCACCATGCTATTAATAGGTAAACCATCTATTTCTATGGGCCATGGCTTCCATGGCAAACTGTTAAATAACCAGAGGGTAAGATGTTGAAAACTATACCATACTATACCATACCATACCATACCATACTATACTATACCATATATAAATACTATACCATACTGAGATGAGGTACCAAATATAAATATACTTCAATCCCCATTTATCCAGATGTACCCTCTGGTAATCAAACATTGCTTGCTGGAACATCCCTATTTAGTTCGTTGATTTTCCCACAACGAAACCTCCGTGACTCGTTCGGGGATTGCCCAGCAATCACCATGTTTGAGGACACCGTTGTGGATGAATCATCCCCACTATATATCCCTATATATCCCCACTATATATACCACCATTGTTGCTGGTTGAATCCCGTTTTTTGTTGGTTAACTTCCTTTTTTTTGTTGGTTAAAATTTTATTTCTGTTGGTTAGATCAATTTTTTTCTTGGTTAAACCCTGATGTTTGTTGGTTAAACCCTTATTTCTGTTGGTTAAACCCTTATTTCTGTTGGTTAGATCCCTTTTCTCTTGGTGAAACCCTTAGTTTTCTTGGTGAAATGTGCTTTTCCACTGAACGAAACTCTCCATTTCCTGCGGCCTTGATGGATGCGCAACTGCCATAGGGTCGGAGCTTTCTCAGCTCCTGGAATCCACAGTTCACCCAGAAAAATAGGGATTTTTCATAGGAAAAATGATGATTTAATGGGAATGACCAACAAAAATGGTGGCTGAAAAAGGTGGCTGAAAAAGGTGATTTAATGGTGATTTTTTTAGGGATTTTTCATAGGACTTAAACTATAAAAATGGTGGTATGCTGGGATTGAATGATGATTTAATGCGACTTAATGGTGATTTAATGGTGATCTGTTGGAATCGAATGGTGTTTTTAAATGGTGATATATGGTGATTTATTGGGACCTAATGGTGACTTAACGGGATATACAACGTACCCACAGAAAAGGGTAAGTTACCCCAAGCGATGGATGGAAGATGATGGAAGCAACAAATTTGAATAGAATTAACGTGGATGTGTGGGTATATGTGTTATTTCACCAACCAAAAATGGAGATTTGACAAAACAGAAACTGGAATTTTACCAACAAAAATTGCAAACATATATATATATATAATGGAATATGTATGAATATGTATATAACCAAACATGAACTGATGGGTAAATCGTAAGCCCTTTTCCGGGTAAAAATGGTCACGACGACTAGGGACCCTAAGGACTGAGGTACTGTACTGGGGAGATTCCCGGAAATTTGGCCGCTTGAAATGGCCATTGAAAAACAAAGGGATCTCATGGGGCCCTAATCATCTAAGATATGCACCAGTGCCCAGTTGGACTCAACGAAAATTGCTGAAATTCCCTGAAAATTGGTATTAAACTCCTCGTTTTTTGTGATGGTTATCCAAAAAAAACAGAAATATAGCTGAAAGTTGTCCCCATTTTGGTCAGTTCAGTCCAAATCTCAACTTTCTTGGTTGCAAAAACATGGTGACAAAAATCTGCTTTGAATCATTTTAAACCCATCTTAATCGCTGATGAACAATCTTGATCTTTACTACTTACATTATCTTACATTCCCATGGTTTTCTTCTTTTTTCATCACATCTTTTGCCCCATTTTTCACTGGTTGGTGGTTTTTAGCCTACCCCTCTGAAAAATATGAGTTCGTCAGTTGGGATGCTTATTATTCCCAATATATGGAAAAATAACTCAGTTTTAATAGGTAAACCATCTGTAAATGGGCCATGGCTTCCATGGCTATGTTAAATAACCAGAGGCTAAAATTCATGGTCCAAACCACCAACCATTTATAAAGTAACCACAAACAGTTTGCTATTGAAAATTGCCATAGAAATCCTGGATTTTCCCATGAAAAATTGTGTTTTTTTTCATTCCTCCGGCCATTCCTGGCGCGCCAAAAACCGCGTCGATTTTCGTCCTCCAGAACCTCCGTCAACATCTTCATGGACCGAGAGATGTCCTCATCGCTTTGCCCTGTCGAGGATGCGGTCGAGTCGAGTCGAGTCGGTTTAAGCAGTTTTAACCACTGAAGGAGATTGAAAATGGTGGTTTACTGGTGATTTCATGGGAATGAGTGGTGATTTAATGGGAATTCGTGGTGACTGAAAATGGTGGATCTAATATGGGAGTTAAGCAACATGTAGTTTTCGTGATGTGAAGTCTATGAAGCAGACAAAAAAAAAATATTATTATATATATATATAGGTTGCTTAGAGGGGGAGGTCCACCAAGAAATATGAATGTATAAAGAACCAATAGCACTCATGGATAATCAATGCCCAAATATTCACAAATAGTAACAAAACTGTCCCGGTGTCACCGTGTTTCAGGGTGATATGCAAGAAAAAACACGACAAAATCACTATTTGTTTCGTAGGTAAATCGACTATATAAAGATCACCAATAACTTCCAAAGCTACGTAAATGTGAAAACCAGAGGGTTTTCACTATGTGATAAACCCAACAGTAAACTCTCACCATATAATTTACCCTCTGGTAATTTAACATAACTATGGAAAATCACCATGTTTTATGGGAAAATCCACTATAAATTGCCATTTTCAATAGCTATGTTAAATTACCAGAGGGTATAAGAGATGTTGTCAACTATGGAAATGGGAGATACTAGCTATATTTCTACGGACAAAAAAAATGGATGTAAACCATCCCAGCGACCAACCATGAGGGAACTCGACATTTACCCAACCTGGTTATGACTAACATAGCCATGGAAGCCATGGCCCATTTATAGATGGTTTACCTATTAAAAATTGTGATTTTCCATGGCTATGTTTAATAAACAGATGGTAAATTATCCCAGTCATAGGGCTGGGTAAATTATCATAATTCACTAACCTGAATTGTTAGGTCAGCTATGGGGATGATTTCCCTTATTAACATTTATTCACCATGATTCCAGGGCTCGGTCGAACAGGGTTCGGTCGTGATGAAATTTACCCAGATAATCATCTATTATCATCTATTATCATCTATTATCATCTATTATCATCTATCATCATCTATTATCATCTATTATCATCTATTATCATCTATTATCCCATGATTAGCTATATATGTCCCATTTATTCCCATATATTGCTGGTATAATTCCCAGTGATGAAATTTACCCAGATCGGGGGCAAATTTGCTGAATCCCCAACTCGGGATGGTGGCTATGGGCTTTTCCATAGTCATGGGGCAAGCCCCCAAGCGAGCTCGCTGGATGGTTTATCATGGGAAATTCCATCTATAAATGGATGAGAACTACAGTAGTAGGGCTACCCCCATGAGTTAGGAAACCACCATATATTTCTGCAACAATATCTACATGCCAAGAACATGTCCGACAGTAGCAGTAGATTAACCAACGAAACGGCAATCTTAAAGCAGCGCAACAAATACAGGCGAACGTGACAGTGAAGAATGTACAGCAGCAACAAATATGGGCTAATGATCGTTAACAACTGGGTCGACAATTTTTTTGGTTGGATGGGGACATTGTGTTCAAATAGTAGCTTCATATCTTTGCTAATTCGATTCACTGGAGTTTTTTGAAACTAACTAGATGATGTGTATGCTATCTAAATATAACTAAACTAGACACGTTTTCATTGTGGTATATTATAGTACTATTGCTAGTAACATCTAATAACTATAACTTGATATTTTCGTGGGGTATAGAAATAGTACCTATACCAAGTATACCAACAATTGCATACCAATCGTTGGTGCAGGCCATATACCATCTCCATTTCTTGTGATACAGTACTACAGTAAGAAGATTACATACCAACCAATAGCGTGGTGTAGTAGTATGAGTAGTGTGGTGGTAAATCAGAATACCCTCTGGTGAACTAACATAGCAATGGAAAATGGCCATTTAGAGTGGATTTTCCCATTAAGAATGGTGATTTTCCATTGCTATGTTAGTTCACCAGAGGGTACATCCAATGAATTCCATAAACCATCCCCATTTCGAGTGATTTTCAAGCCCCTAGCAGGATAGTCAGAACATCAGGGGACCCCCAATTTCCAGTGGTTGATAATCATGTTTCCAATTTCATTAGAAACAGTGACTGGTTGGTGGTGCAATAACCATCTTGAAAAATATGAGTGCGTCAATGGGAAGGATGACATCCAATATATGAAATGGAAAATAAAAGTCATGTTTGAAACCACCAATCAGTGATTATTAACCATCATTAACCATCATTAACCATCATGAAACCCCATACTAAACCAATGTTTGAAACCACCAAGCAGTAGTGAGTTCCGTCCCAATGATTTACCATTAGGGGACCCGTTTGCACATATTTTTCGAAGCGGAGAGGCTGAGAAGCAACAGGCTTTGGATTCGAGGTCCCAGATGGCCCAACCGACAAAAAAATCCATGGCCTGATTTACCCTTGAAAAATGGTGGATCGTTCCATCGTTTTTTATATGTTTACCAGAGGCTAAATCCATGAAATTAGCTGAATATTGAATTATCGAAGGCTATATCAATATCATGCCAAGGTGGATTGCTTCTACAGGTTCCTTGATACGACTTCTTATGTGAATTATAACGAAGCCATCAAGCCCAACAATACACCCCCTTGTACCCAAGGTCAATTCTAGACATGAATCATGCGACATGTTTGAATTTGTGTAGGAACAATATCAGCATGGTTCAAAAGCGGAGTATCAATAATGGACCCAGACATTTTTTCAGGTCTTGCAGGAAACCATCCACTTCTTAGCTTAAGGAAGCCTATGTATATACAATTTTTCCTAACTATAGATTCCCCAAACATATATAGTGGATTCTGGATCTTCCATAGTTATAATCCAAGATTTTCCCACATTAACTATAGATATATCACCAACAAAAACCATAGTTATTGGAGTTATTTGCACCAACTTAGCTATCGTAAACGGGGGCACCACCTTGTATAGATTATAGCTATTGGGAATTCCCCAAACAGTGGATTCCCATTGGGAAAATCAAAAAAAAACACCTTTAGCGGATCCTGGATCTTGGTTCGCCCTGCCTCGCACCAAGAAACTGAGCTCCTGCTATCAGCTTGACACGAAAAGTGCTGGGAAATCTCTAGGAGGATTTCACAGAAACCATAAATGGGAGGCTAATGATATCTAATAATCCCATGGGAGGCTTCATATGAATCACCCCAACTTTAATGGTCCCAATGGAATGTGGAAATTTCCTACGTTTTACCATGGTTTCGTTTAGTAGGGGTGTTTAGTATTAGGGGGAAGGGATTAGCATGTAATATCCCTATGTTCTTCTGCAAATGATGGAATATTTAAGAGGAACCAACTTACCATAAATAGAGTTTACCCTATTTGGGCACAAAAATGGGCATGGGGCCCCAATCAAAATTGCAAGTTCTTTGTTGTTCCGATGGGATCCTTGTCGGAGTGTGACCTTGATGGGACCCATCTACCCTCAAAAAACGACAGGAAGCTGTTCTCAGCACAGAATCCCCAGTGCTATGAGAAGTTGATGGAAAGCTGGAATGGAGGTCCGGTTTACATTCAGAGTGCCAGGTCCTCAAACACGTTGAACGAGCAACGAAACGATGGATTTCCCAAGAAATGGGATAATCCTTAGGCAACTCAAAAAATTAACATCGTGTAGGGTTCCCCTGCGAAACAATCCATTGATATCGATTGACCCAGAAAAACAGCAGGTTTGATCCATTTCATCACCCGATTTGAGGTTGTCTCAAGTTGTCTGCAATCCCAAAGCTACATCGTTTACCATCTGGTTATGACTGTTACATAGCCATGGTATACATGGCCCATAGAAATAGATGGTTTACCGGTTAATAGCATGGTGATTTTCCATGGCAAACTGTTAAATAACCAGATGGTAAATCCTCCATTTGAAGAGAGTCACCCATTCGAAACCACCGAATCTAAGCAGATTCGGTTCACCGTTCACCGAACAAAAAAGAAGCATGACCAATTGTAGATACCCTGTATGCTTTAAGATGTTTAAGCTAGTTTGGAAATATTCAGAGAAAAGTATGTTTCCATCTAGACAATACCACGCATTCCATCTATATGCTATGAGTATTTTACAGCAATACTTACATCCAATGCCACGCATGGACGCTGCCCCATTTTTAAGCCACATCTTGAACCAACAAACTGATTCTAACAGAAACAAAGTATCGAACTACCCTCTGGTAAACTAACGTAACTATGGAAAATCACCATGTTTAATGGGTAAATCATGGTAAATCCACTATTTCTATGGCCATTTTCAATAGCTTTTTGTATGTTTACCAGAGGGTACCCATCCAAAATTGACCAAGAAATCCTAAGAACTCCCCAGGGTCCCCAAGTCTCCTGCACCAGAGACTGCCAGAGTCGCTGTTGCTGTTGTTGCCGCTTTTGTCGTTCCAACTTCGTCACTAAAAAGCCGCAGCGGCACAGGATGGCCTTCCGTCGTTGCGGTGGTTTTTTGGGGGTTTCATGTTTTTTCTCTGGAAAACATGCATCAAAAGTCATGATCCCAAAATATGATGGGCAAAAAAAAACCAAATACTCCATAAAACCATTCTCATGGTGCGTTTGTTGGTGTTCAGTCCATGATTCGATCATAAAATCATCTTAAATCCCAATCTTGCCAGGTGCACCCTATCACTTCAGAAGGTAGGATCAACCAGTCGTTTCCGAAAATGTGTCAACCATGATATCCCCAACAAAAATGCTGCGAAAAAAAAAAAGCGTCTCCAACGTCTCCATAGCCTCCGGTGTCATCAAACACTGCAAGCTGGGAAATCCACAAACTAAATGGATGTTGTGATGGGAAAATCATGTACCCTCTGGTAAACTAACATAGCTATGGAAAACCATCATTTTTTAATGGGTAAATCAACTATAAATGGCAATTTTCCATAGCTATGTTAAATTACCAGAGGGCAAAATGACGGGATTTTCCAGCTAGCCATGGAGCGGAGTACCGGAGGGTAGAAGATAGAAGCGGATTTCAAGCATGTTTCTTCTGGATTGGTTCATGGGATATGGCTGTCAACTTCCAGCACAGTTGCGTGGGAGTTCAGTTCCAGCTATAATTGGATATATGACTCATGGCGGTAATTAACAATTTGTTATACCCTCTGGTTATTTAACATAGCCATGGAAGCCATGGCCAATAGAAATAGATGAAGTTCCCAGCTGGAAACCTCCATTTATGGTTGGGATTTTCCATGGCTATGTTAGTCATAACCAATTTGTTATAACCATAAGACTAACCCCAACACCCCAACCAGGCTTTTGTATTTTCCTATGAAATCCCAAAAAGAAATCCCCTGTCCTGCACCCTGAGGCTAACCTGCCACCCTGACCGCCTCCTCAGTCAGAGGCGCTCGACAGCTGGGACACACCCAACCACTCAGCACCTCCAAAGGAGGCGCAGGTTTTACGGCTCTGTAAGGGTGAAAAAAAAACATCAACCTATGGGGAGATTTCATGGGAAATATCATGGTGATGTGATGGTGATATAATGGATTATTGTATATATATATAGAATATAAATGTGATATAATGGTAATATATCATCAACAATATGATTTATGGTATATTATATGGGGATATACTGAGATATACTGGGAAATACTATTGCCAACAATTTGCTATCCGGCTGTGTCTGAAAATGGGTGATTAACCCCCCCACCAAATATCACCAAATGGTACTTTTGATAGGGAAATGAGGTTCTAAACCAATGGTCCATTTTCTATAGCTATGCTAGCAGAGGATAAAATTCGACCCAAAAATTGGGCGGGGGTTGACCTTTGCGGGCTAATTTCCATAGATTTCAAGCCAGTTTACTAACCACCATGCCATTTACAACTAAGACGACTACCCTCCGGTAATTTAACAGGTTGCTTTGGAAAATTGCCATTTATAGTCGATTTACCTATGAAAAATGGTGACTTTCCATAGCTATATTTGTTTACCAGGGTAACTCTACTGTACCCACACCATCAGTATGTTGGTAGTTTGCTTCTTGGTAAACCGAAAGCCAATCTCAGATACATGCCCAAACAACTTGTATCATCGTTAGCTGAGTAGTGACTATATCCCCATGGTTTTGAAAGAACAAGACATCAACATACTCGAAGCTACTCATTCGAGGTTTACCATACTTTGCCATCCTTTTCCATGGCTTACACAGGAGACGACCTGCTTGTCGAAGGCGCAGGTAAAGCGCCATGATTTTGCAGCAGTGAAGGCTGGCTAACGTGGTAAAACCAAAAATAAACCATCCCCAATATTATCAAATTGCGTGGGATTTCAACCATGCCCAAATGGTATGCTATCAATTTTTTGGGACACCAGCAATTGTTTCGGGGGCCATTCTGATGCATCCAGATTATGCGGTTGGATTCATTCTCACCCTAGGGGCTTAATGTTTGCCCCATTCATAGGAGTTGGTGGTTAGAACTTCGCATGAACTTCCGTGATGACAACCCAACAAAAACAGTTTTCAACATTTTTTCCAACAAGAAACCTGGAAAACTCCCCAACATCTCCAGAAACCTATGGGATTTCACAGTGGGATAGCTCCACATCGGACCTAGCCATGCTTGGATTTGCGTGTTTCATCGACGCGACTCAGCAAATCAGGCAAAAAATGGATGGTGTACCCTCTGGTAAACTAACATAGCTATGGAAAATCACCATTTTCTATTGGAAAATCCACTATTTCTATGGTCATTTTCAATAGCTACGTTAAATTACCAGAGGGTAATATGAATGGAAGTGCAGTTCCAGTTATAAGATGTTATAAGTGGATAGGTTTCATTATAGATTTCACCATCGATTTTTCCAGTTACCCTCTGGTAATTTAACAGTTTGCGAACTGGAAAATCACCATGCTATTAATGGGAAAATCCACTATAAATATGGTCATTTTCAATAGCTATTTTGACATAACCAGAGGGATTTTTCCAGTTGTAAGTGGATTTCAATAGATTTTTCCAGTTATAAGTGGATTTCACCATGGACTTCACCATGGACTTCACCATAGTTATAGCCCCACGTGGCCCAACGTCATGGGTTTTTTACCAGGCTCCGCCCCTCTGGGTCGCATGACATCTCTCCCGACGCCGAAGTTGGCTGCACAGCGAGGGCAGAGACACTTCACGCCCTGCGCTTCAAGGAGGAAGTAGCGCCTGGCTTTTGGAGAAAAACTGATGGTTTTTCTTAGGGAAAATCGATTTGGGTGTTTTTTGGTTCATGTTTCGTGTGTTTTCATAATTTAAGCAACAATATATATATATATGATTTAATATGATTTAACCGAGAGACATTAGGAACATGATGAAAAATGACACAAAATAGGATCCAATCATAAGAACATCCTCAACACTAGAATCTCTATCAATGTTGATAGAGCTAACCACGGGTAAATCAACCTGATGCTGGGAAATCATCCAGAGAACCTCGCCATGTTCCCTTACCGGTCAAGTCTTTCATTTTTCCAGGCGCTTAAGAAATACAGTAAGTGAACCAAGACCCAAGTCGAGTCAACACAACCAAAGTGATACAAAGTGGTGATTTAGGCATCAACAACGGGGGCTTAACGGCTTAACCATAAAATAGAACAGGATGGGGCCCCCAGTCGATAGCGTTCAGTTGCCTAAAAAAAGTGGCTGAATTCTATGGTTTATGGTAGATATAACTATAGTTAATGGGGTTCATAATGGTTTATAAAACAACCTATAACTGGGGGGGCCATCCTGTCTCATTTTCAGCGCGAAACCAAAAAAGAGAATCTTGCGCCAACTTCTCCCATCTATTGGTAGATGGTCAGCTTTTCACAGTCTGAAATACACCATATTGGGATGATTCCACTCCCCACTATATATATATATATGTATATATATATATATATGTATATATATATATATGTATGGGCCTTTCCACTTCCGTTTGAAAATGGGGTACTCCAACATGGAATCTCCTCAAAAAGTTCCACACATGTTCCATCGATCGAAATTTGGGATCCCGGCCTGGAAAGAACGTCAGCAAACTCGTCAATGTACGAGACTACGATCTCCTGCATGAAGGGGATCCACAGTCGTCACCATGGTTGTTTCAATACTAAAATGGTCTAATTTGGATGATTTGGAGGTACCCCCATGATTTTGGAAACCTCCATTTGGAAGCCAAACCCTGGCCTTTTTTTCCGCAAAATGATCCTTTCAAGAATCCAATGAAAATCGGAATACGTGTAAACTTATATAATTAATATGGATAGGACGTGTTTACATGATATTTTACGATTGGGTCTAAATGGGTCTAACATTAATGGTTTGTCCCCCACGGGTGCATGGCGACACTTCCCTGCAAAATTCATCGACTTCGCAGCTCCATAGTTATTCCGACAGTGACGTCCTCATCTTTTGTTGTGATACAGTATCCCCCCTTGTTTGTTGCTTAAATAGATATATTATCCATGTTTGATTGCTGTTCACACTGTTTGGTTGTCTTTGTCAGTTCTCAGTAGTGACATTCCTGATGTTTTCTTGTGTGTTGCTCTTACACCCATTCATTGAGCTTTATGGTGCTATCGCGCGTTTTTGGTCTACTGATTTTTGATCGAATCATGTTTCATAAACTCCTCCACTTTGCTTTTGGAGTTTCTCCAAAAAAGGGATCCGGGATACCCCAATGCGTGGCCATTCAACAACGTGGAAAATGATTTCAGACCGAAATCAACTCCACATCTGCCATCAATTTGGCCATGATTCCCATAATAGGGCTTAGGCAGTCAGTGAGGTCGCGGCATGTTTCACCCAGAAAAATTGTAAGTTCTATCCTATTATCTAGTTGGATTCAGTTCCCATTCACCCCACCCCAAATCACCATTCAGGTTGGTTCAAAACCGTCTGTGTTGCTTAACGTCCCATCAAATCCACATGTTTCTTGGTCAAAATCCCATTGAGTCACCATGTTTCTTGGTCGAAATCCCTGATTTGTGATGGTTTATTGTTTATTGTGTATACCATCTGGTTCTTTAACAGTTTGCCATGGAAAATCACCATGCTATTAATAGGTAAACCATCTATTTCTATGGGCCATGGCTTCCATGGCTATGTTAGTCATAACCAGAGGGTACTCCTACTTGGGATTACTTGCATAACCCCCAAATGCTGGATGATGGGAATGGCTTGCGGCATTGTATGCCAATCATCAGCCCATTCGCCATTCCAATGTTCCCAACAGAAAATTAGATATCCCCAAGAGTTTATGGCATGGCGGATTCCGGATCCCACGTTACCCATTAAAAAAAATATATATATTCTTGGTTAACTCCGAGTGACAAATCTTCAATACCTTGATTCGGCTAACATTGGATACACAATCTGCTAACGGCCATGGCTGGATTTCATCAGTTGACAATCTAGCCATTCAGTTTAGCAATAGTTTCTCAACCATCAATAGTGTGTACCCTCTGGTAATTTAACATAGCTATGGAAAATCACCATGTTCAATGGGTAAATCCACTATTTCTATGGTCATGTTCAATTGCTATTTTGACATAACCAGAGGGTAAATAATCTGGGCGTACCCCCAATTGTCTCATGATATCCCTAGTCTATTAGTTTATGACACTACTTGTGGCGGCATTTCCAGTCATAAGTGGATATGTGGATATATGTGGATATCCCACTTTGATTTTTGTAGTATATCAAAAAAATCACCACTAGATATATTTTTTTGGGGGGGGGCGATATCTATAGGTTCGGTTCTAGTTTAAAACTCCAATAACTATGGTTTATAGGTGTTATATCCCCACTGACGTGAACTCACCATGGCCCCATGGCCCTATCCCAACTTATGGTGGTCATAGATATATACCCTCTGGTTATGACTGTACATAGCCATGGTATAGCCATGGCCCATAGAAATAGATGCATTACCGAACTTAATAGCATGGTGATTTTCCATGGCTATGTTAGTCATAACCAGAGGGTATATATATATATATATATATCCCATTAAATCATCATTGAATCACATTGAATCAGCATTAAATCACCATGTTTCTTGGTTTAGAACCATGGTTATAGCCATAAACTAAACCCCAACTGCACCACCAAGCACCCAAACCCAAACTGCCCCCAAAAAAAGAACCCGTCCTCGCCCTCAGCAATGGGCCGGATGCAGCTCAGAGTCCCTGTGGCACCAGTGTAGTTCACCTTCGCCTGAGACAAAATTTGGATTTTGACCAACCAAAATTGGATTGCTAAGCAACCAAAATTACCCTCTGGTAATTTAACATAGCTATGGAAAATCACATTTTTTAATGGGAAAATCCACTATGAATGGCCATTTTCAATAGCTATGTTAGTTTACCAGAGGGTAGATTTTTAACCTACCCATCTATAAATGGTTCATTTTCCATAGCTATGTTAACCACATGGATTTTAACCACAGATTGGCATTTGAACCAAAAAAGGCGAGACCTTTGGGAGCCCAAGACAGATTGATCTGAGGGATCTTCCCTTTGCCAAAAAAGGACCGGTACTACAAGGTGGGGTCCCGCTAGCTAAGTGGTGACTTTAGAACTAGCTGCAACTAGTGTTGATGTATATGTATAATTATGTATCTATATATATATATATACACCATATATATATACTACATATACTATATATACTATATATACTATATATACTATATATACTATATATACTATATATACTATATATACTATATATACTATATATACTATATATACTATATATAATATATATACTATATATACTATATATACTATATATACTATATATACTATATATACTATATATACTATATATCCTATATATCCTATATATCCTATATATACTATATATACTATATATACTATATATACTATATATACTATATATACTATATATACTATATATACTATATATACTATATATACTATATATACTATATATACTCTATATACTATATATACTCTATATACTATATATACTATATATACTATATATATATATATTATCATTATATATATATTATCATTATATATATATATATTATAATACTATATTATATTAAATTATATTATATTATATTACTCTATTAAATTATATTATATACTATTTATAGATATTATATATTATAGATGACCATGTTGCTGGTGGTGGCGTACCATGGCGGGATTATGGTGGTCTAGGGTGAATGCACTGGAGATGCTACTAAGGTTGATAATGCGGCTGCCGCTAAACTGACATTGCCAGCGGAGGGAGCCTACAGGATAAGAAATGAAGGTATGATGAGGTATGATTGTCGCTAGCCGCTAGCATTGCATCAAAGTCTTTGTGTCAAATCCCTCCTTTGGCAGCACCCATGCCGATCTGCAGTGCAGCATCTGCCGCGACCTTGCAGCTGCAAACTCGAGGGCCCCTTGCCGCTTGCCAACAAATCCGCCACTAAGAACCAGGCCATCAGCATCCAGGCGGCAGACGCAGATGCCAGCCATGCCAACATAACAAAATGTCAAGATCGCCGGGATTTCCGACTTGAGGCTTTTCATGGCTTGTGCGTCCATTGCAACCATTGACTGAATAGAAACGTCAACCATTTCTCCAAATGTTTTCTTCCAAACATTTTTTGCCACAACACTCATTCCATATTCACACAAAGTCATCCAATGCAGATAGAGGCAAGGCACCTTCTCCCGGTCAGCGTCTGCAACAGCAGCGTCCAATTTGTCTTCCTTTTCCCAAGTAGTTTTCCAGTCTCTACCGTTGATCAACTTGGCAGCTTGTCTGTCCTGCAGTTTCTTGAGATGCAGCTTCATTTCTGCAAGGTCCCTTCTGACTGGGTCCAGAGAAAGTTCCTGGCAAGCCACGGCAAGCTACCATGAAAAAGTGTTCATCGTCGCTTGTCTGAGGCACGTCAGCGGTCCAGCAAAGACTATATCGCCGTTTAATCTAGGTGAATACACATTGTTTATCATTGTTTCATATTATGTCATGTATTGTCATGTTATTTCAATATATAACAATCACATCAACGTCAGATGACGAGGTGTCCTCTGACAGTCGCCGGTCAATCTCGTCCAGGCTTTCCTGGACTTCGTGCTTGGTGGCCTGGCACAGCATCTTTGTCAAATCTGAAACGTGTTTTTTTCAAAAGCTGCGCCTTCTCCTTCTCTGCGGTTTCAAGACCTTTCTCAACCTGACCCAAACTATGCAAAGGTGTGCCATCATGCCATCTCGCTGAGAAACAAAGTAGCAAACTGAGTCTGCGGCAGCAAGCAAACGATATTGCAGGTTGCGAGCCTCTCTGTGAGTGCTTTGCAGGAGAGGACCCAGAAAAAGTCCAGACAGGGATCTAAAACTTCAATCTGGGGAAAGATGGAAAAAATGAGAGAAAAAAAAAGAATGAAAACGGTTGAAAAGGATTGAAAGGGTCCCCTTTTGTCTCTGCCTGCTCTGCTGTAGCTTTCTCATGTCGAATCACAGCACCACGTGTGCCTTCCAGTTTCGCCTGGTGCGGTCGGAATCGCAGGCACAACTTATCAGGTCTCCAAGTCCAATTACTTCAACCTTTGACAAGAACATCCGTCTTTGTTCAAACTACACTTTAGGATCTTTAGGATACGTTAGGCGGGTTGTGTACTAAAGCTACAGTACTCGCTCTCAGCTTTGTTGTGCAACTTGAGTGGTCTTGCCAGTCCAAACTTTTGTCTCATCAAACAGAGTCTGATGTTCTTTCCGTTTGGCAAATCAGCATAAATCAGCTCTAGCAGGAACTTCACCTCTGCCGTTTCCAAATTCTCCGAGAGCCGCTTGAATTGAGTGTCCGTGTGATCTCGCTGCATCAAGTACCTTGCAGTGAGTCGCCAGCAAATGTGTGTCGGCAGGGACTCTGTTGGGTCGCACCACCACGATCTCAATCTGGCGGTGACATGTGTTTTTGCCTCAGACGGGCTCCAGTCCTCTCTCTTCTTGCAAAACGGTAACATCACATCCTCTCAAAGGAACTAAATGGTACCCATGGTATCCTCCCTAATAAGACGTGATGGGAGGGATGATGGCTGAACAGTGGCTGAACACCATCTTCTGCCACCAAGCAACCCCACACAGTGTCGCGGTTTATTGCAGTGACAAATCACATCTGCGGAGCCCACACTATTGAGGGTATCAGGATGTCCCATTACAAAGAGCCCACTTGGAAAGAGAACATGTAAGCTGAGGGGACACACCCAGAGAGCACACATGGGGGCACACGTCCATGGCCTAAAAAAACCTTCGCACCACTCAATAACGAAAGATAAGTTTTGGTGTAGACATGTCCAGACGGTGTATACGATACGGCAACACACAACACCTCTGTGCTACACTGCACAGGTATATACACGGGGAGACAATGGGGAGACGAGACCTCGGGAAGGTGAACACACCTTCCAACGCAAGCTCACGTGTGCCATAATATGGGGGAAACAAGGGGAGACAAGTGGACACACCATCCAACACATTGCCACATTGTTTTTTCAGCGGCCCAGGAATGTGCATGTGCAGCTTGAGGGAAACGATTTGTGAAGAGTGAGCACGGGAGGTTTTGCTTTGCAGTTTGCAATGGACTTGACAAGAAAAGCACACTCTCAGCTGGCCACATAGATTTGCTTCACTCTAGCAAGAGCCTTTCTTGAAGGTGCAGCTGGTGTCAAATGATCTATTTCCAAGCAGTTTCTAGTGTTTCTGCTTGGCTCCTGCAGCCCGGCCTCCCGTGATTTGTTCTGGCGTCGAAGAAACTCCACCTTCTGCAATTGGATCGCAATTCGCAAGTGCGGAGTAAATTCATCTGCAAACACCAAAGCACCGGGGTCACCAGGACTCCAGCCCAGCCATCCATGGTTTTGCGAAGCAATCTGGTTCTGTTGTACCTGGTGCTTCGAGGTGTGCCTCACCTCTTCATCTTGATTCATCTTGATCATCTTGCAACGGTGTCGTCTTTGACATATGTGGCTTGCAAATTGCTGGGCTTTCTCAGGCCAAACATGCACTGACCGCCACTCCGCTAAAGCTCGGCATGACTGGATAATATTTGCTTGGTGCAGAAATACACTATGTTAAACAGTTGTTATACCATATATCCATAATTATCCATATATTTTATATATTCCTCAGCAGCTAGGGATACCTGGAGCTTAGTCGAGTACGGATCCCATCGAGCTGCAAATGCGGCCATCATTTCTCTCCTTTCTTGATCCCTTAGTTACAAGCAAGATACTGAGATATACTAAGGCTCCAGATTCAAACAGAGGTGATTACTGGTGATTGCTGGTGATTGCTCATTTCTGCAATTTAGATAAGTTGTGCATGCTGTGAAGTGTTGCAGGTGCTTCTACTCTCAAAGTGTGACAACTCTGAGAGCACCACTGGATTTGAAAGAACTTCTCGTGGACAAATTCCTGAAGCCTTCGCGAAAAGAATCTTGACATGTCTTGACAGTCTGATGCAGTTGCTGCTTTTCTCCCAGCCCACAATTGGATATTTAGTTGAATCAGGGGAACAATGGAGGACAAGCAAAAATTCAACGGCAAACCAAAATGCAGAAGACCTTGCACTCTCTTCTTGCATGTCCATGATTCGACGTTCGAGTTTCTTCAAACCAGCCTGGCCGCAGTCAAAACAATGTCAAAAGAAGAACCTTTCATCTGCTTCGTTGAAATTTTTTGGCTGCATCTCGCTACCCTCATTACACGACCTCCTTCGCACAGCTGTTGACTTCTTGCTTTATGACTTCCAAACCATCCCTCAGTACGACAAGTCGTGGACTGTGACATAGTATGACACGTGTGCTGGTCTGTTGTTGTGTCGTTTGTATTAAGATGGTATAGAGATGTATAGAGTGCAGTCGGCGCAGGGGTCCGTACTCCATGGTAGAACCATGAAGTTCTTGCTTTCCGATCTGCTTTTGCAACTGGCAGTGCAGCAACAAGGACCAGCACAACAACAGGACTCCTACGACAAACTGAAGCCGTGAAGCCATGTGAAGCCCTACAACATGCCACAACCATGAATCCAAGGCTGCCTCTCGGATTGCATCGCCTGCACTACCGATTTGCTCTGCCTGTAGCGTTTGTGCTCAAGCTGGTCTACTTAGTCTACTTGGCTCTGGACTTTGAATTCTTTTGAACACAGCATCGCAGCGCCTTCTTCTCATTAGACTTAAAGTTATCCTCGCACCACAAGGATACGCTTTACGATTAAGGCAATCTTCTTTTGTAACAGTATTGCCACTGGAAGATTGTTTTAGATCAGAGAATGGTTGCACCAGCGGAGCTCTGACTTTGCGCAAGAAGAACTTGAGATAATTATGTATATGATTGTATATATGATATACAATGAAAACCTTTAGGATCTTCGGGTGCGGCTAAGGATACGTATGCATGCCCATCTGTTGACAATCTATCAAAATGTTCTAACTCAGGTTCCTCTTCGAAAATTCTGAACTCGTTCGCAAGCACCTCCGTCGAGTGGCTTAGGCGTGGCTGAATCAATTTGACATTTGGCCCAGCCTGCACTGCTTTAGCCATCCGCGTAACGTCTTCCCGAAAGACCTACACAGCAGGACCCCCTCCTTCGGATGTGAGGAGAACAGAAAGGGCTCCGCACATCAAGGCCTCCTTCGTAACAGAAAAGTCATTGCTGACCTGGAAACGTTGCCGGAAAGGAGATCCAGCAACTTTCTTATATAACATCATATGATAATGTCATATAATATAATATAATATAATATGATATAATATAATATAATATAATATAATATAATATAATATAATAATATATTATATTATATTATATTATATTATATGATATAATATAATATAATATAACTATATATATAATCTGTTGAAGCACCCAACGTTCTGCTGGTCTATCGGTTTGATCTAGTGTGCCTCCTCCAAATGCTTGGCTGTCCGAAAGGCATGATCTGCTGCATTCTCAACTCGATGAGAGTCCTGGCACAAATTGTGAGAATGCAACATGCAGTATGCATGGATATGCATCGATATGCATCGATATGATTCAATATGCAAGATCATTGCAGAGACAGAAAGGTACAGTAGAAAGCACACGGACAACACCAATCCAAAGATTCCAAAGCATGGAAGTGAAACGTCACGAATGCGAGAAGTGTTTCCCACTGTGGCTTTACCTGGGCTGTTTCTCCGACTGCACAGGCAAAATCTCATGACAAGGCTCTCAATTTTTACTACGTGGTACAACATTTGTACCTTCTTTGTGCTCACAACTGTACTCACGACATTTCAAGATGGATCTTGCGATGCACTGACTGCAAAAATACCTGAGGCATGCTGAGGCTCTGGCTCAATTCATCCATTTGTCGATGCAGTTTTTCATTTTCTGCCATATGCATCCTCCAAAAGCTCTATGGTAGTGGTAAAGGTGCTAGTGAAGAAAACGAACATCATTTCTTGCACGGACACTCGTGGACTGTGGTGAAGATGTTGCGAATGAAATGAAATGTTCCAATCAAAGTTCACTCATTCTGAGAAACCGCCAAACAACATGTTGCGTCAGAAAAGCCAAAAATGATGCAGCTGGTGTTTTCTGCTCAGCTGACCCATGTCTAGTACATGCTTCAGAGAAATTCAAAGTCTGTGCTCTTGCAGACGGTACATTGGCTGTGCTCATGTTCCAAGCTCCTGCTTTCTTTGATGAGGGTCTCGATGACGGATGTGACAGAGCCTTTCGATAGAATTCTGAAACACAGACAGGACTGGAGCAGACTGCAAGGTGTTCAGTAAGAGCGAAAGCAATGGTGAAATCAGCAAATAACACGAGCACCATCGTGCAATGTGAGGTGCAGAGGTTGAAACTGATGATGCTGATGTACAATATCCAAAGATGTAGTATCCCCAAAATCCAGCCCTGTTATCTATCAAGTGCCTCCTCTGCCAAGCTGATGCTCCATAAATTCTTCTATCCTTCCGAGCGACTTGAAAGAAATGCTTAGTCAGATGAACATCGGCGTCTGCCTCGCCATTCGTGAAAGCAGGGAAAAGTAGTCCATCTTGCCAACGAACTTGTCCTTTGATCAGGATGGAAAAGCGGCTACCGGCAGAGGACTGCAAATCTACGTACAAATCATTGTAAATGTCCTGGTACGTCGAATGGATATCCTTGATTTCTTGGCCTGAGCAGGTCCACAGGTGCCTATTCTGTCGTTGAGCAGAACCCTCGGTTCTCATAAACTGGCCCACTGGCCTAATCGCTTGAGTTCTTCCCGGTCTAGTCTGTGCACCTCAAGAAGTAGACATGAGTCAAGTATAGCCAAGTGACAATTAGTATAATTAGATATAATTAGTGGACACTTTTTTGGTCATAGCGGTACATCATGGCACATGGATTTCTACATGGCATGTTCCACAGCCAAGGACCCTGGTTCCACCGGCTCCACCAGTGATGTTTTGGAGCAGCGAGGCCTGAATTTGGCTGGAGCTGCAGTATCTGGTGCTAGATTGCTAATGATGGTTAATAATGGTTAATATATATATATATATATGATATATGATATATGGTTAATATATATGGTTAATCAATGGTTAATATCATATATGATATATGGTGCTGATCAATTGCTAATCGAGTGCTTGAGATGACAAGCCACTGTGCTGCCCTTCTGCAGAAGCTCCTCCAGATTTATCGGATTCAAGGTGGACTGGTGACGACATTCTGTCGACCGGGTTCCCACATCACCCTGTTTTGTGAGACTAGCAGAGACTCACAAAAAAGAGAATTCAGCACTATACTGTACTCAGGTCTCATGGCATGTGTTATGCAGTCATGGTCTTTTCAAGGCCCCTTTCTTTAATTTCTTTGCAGAATCTCTCGCAGGAGTCCAATTAGTATGTGGTCCCGTCCTTACTTTTGGCTCTGGAGGTAGCCGACACGGGGGCCGACACGACACTCTCAGATTCTTTGCTGGAGCTTCGGCTTCCCAAGTGCTCTAATCGGGCTACAGAATCTGCGTCTTTCAGCAAGCCGAAGTCCTTTCAAACATCAGAGTGTGGCAAACAAATCAAACAAGGGCGAAAGCCTTCACATGCGTTTGCAGAACCAGTGCCAAGTGGACATGTAGCAGCAAACATGTCATTCCTGCATGCGGTCCACAGAATCTGCATCCGGGCTGGAGTGAGTGTCAGGAGACAATGGAACGGACGAAGCCGAAGCCTTCCAGATCGAGAAACAAAATCTTGGACACAGAAAAGGCAAAGGATGGCTGCAAGATGCAACGAAGGCGATGTAATTAATTTCTCATGCTTGTATAGTTTCTATTCTTATACCATCTGTGGTGAAAAACCTGGGCGCAACATCTGGGACTAGTTATCCCCTAAAGGCGAAGAACCTGGGTCACTACAAGACCATGATTTTTTATAATCACAGTGCTCCTGGGCTGAAACCCTAGAACCCAAGATGTAAAACAAAATATGCCCAAAAGAAAAAAACCTAGGGCACTAGATCCCAGATATATTTAAAATGAGGCTGCATAGGTTCTTCGCCAGTTTCATTTGGCAAAAATCATGGGACTTCGGCCCTTGGTTTTCTTCCAGCGGCCCCCAATGGAGATTAATTAGAACAACAAGGCGGAATAATAGTGGTAGGTTCACGATTCGTGCTGCCTCCAAGCTGGCTGCAAGGCTTTGGCGCAAACTCTCAACACCAGTGGCACCACTTCTTGGCAAAGAGCTTGGACCCAACAGTGATTCGACCTCAATTTTACCCGAGAAGCCGGTGCTCGAATGACAAGCATTGCAATGCAAGGTGCAAGTTACAACATGTTTTAAGTTCTTGACATCTGGAGATACTGTGCGTCTCCCCAAAAGGCTTTGTGGCAAATCCCCAATGACATCATCACCGGCCTCAACACGATCAATATGCAAGATCCAGGATGCTAGGTATTGAACTGTTTGCACAGTATACACAGTGCTAAATAAAACACCAAGAATGAATGAAACTGAAAACAAGATAAAGCAAGTCAGTTTCGTGGTTCAAGCATGATTGAAATTGTTTATGTCAAATTGTCCTCCTCTGCGTCTTCGTTCTTCTCTGCCAATGCCGCTAGCGGACTTGCTGCAAATCCGCTGGCTGCAGTGGAAGCCTGCACTGCAACACAGCTGAATCAATGCCAAGGCAGCCAGGCAGGCCAGGCAGGTTAAGTCATATCTTCTGTATACATCTCCGCGAGAAACCATGGTTCTGTTGCCAATGACTGTTGTGAATTGATTGTTTTTTGGGAGAATACTGAAGGAGGATAAAAAAAATCTGCCCCACCTCGAGACTTTCTGCGAGACTTTTCATGAGGCTCTCCTTGCGAGAGAGTTTGCCGGTCTCTGGCGCCAGAGCTCCGAGCTTGCTTTCCTGGCAGGATTTCTACGGTGCCTTAACTTTGTTTCCTGCACTTGTTAAACATTGCTATAACATTGTTTAACATTGTTTGTATAACCATCTTTGGCAAATTATTCCAGTGGTTCCTCATGGTTCTTCTGCATGGTTCACATTCTGAAATTGTTCACATGTCCAACTGGTTTTGACCAGTCATGTTGGCTTCCTTGGCAAAACTGCCAAACATCCCTGTGTGACATGAGATATTGTGACTCAGAATTGCTCCGGCAAACCCACTGCAAACCACTGCTTTCTGATCTGCCCTGTCTGCCTCTTTCTGGGCATCGGGAAAGAGCTCCTGCAAGATGTCTCAAACTCGCTCACTATCCGGATCAGTTGCGTGAAAAGGGAAGTTGCAGACTTCGATCCGACGTCCCACAGAGGTCGCATCCCAGTGGCATCAGTGGCATCAGTGGCATCATTGATGTCCTCTGGATCCATCTCAGCAACCTTGGGACATCTTGGCCCAATGGGACTATGACGGATTCCCATGGATTCCCGCCAAGCCTCCAAGCCTCCAACCAAGCCAAACCCTTCTCCCAAACCCCCCAAGTGACCAAGGAACAGACACAAAGAATCTCTCAAGTCTGCATCGTTGAAAATGTTGAAATGATTGGCATTGCGAACTTGAGAACTCAAGTTGGCAAACATATGGATCCAATCCGGTCATACTGAGGGAGTGTGGGCTGGAAAACGGCAAATGAGGCAGTTCATGGCAATTCTATGATTCTGCTGCTTTTGCTTCAGGCACTTGTGTTTTTGCTGGTCCAAAGCTGCAGGGTGGAGATGTCTCCATGGCCAAGCGCGATTCCCGATGTGATAAAGCATGAGGCACTACACCCGTATTAGACGTGCAATACATGAACATTATCATTAGACTCAATAGAAATCAATAGATGCATACATGGCTTCCAAATCCACCAGGAGTCTCCAAAAGCAACCTTGTAGACCTTGTAGCTGTTTCAAACTTCTGTCACTTTTTTTCGTTTGCAACTCGATGGCAAAGGATGCGTCGGATCAGCCACGAAAGGACTGCTCATAAACAGGGAGCTCCTTCAGGTCAAGCGAAAACCGACTGCTTCCAAGATGACACGAATGAACGAAGCGAACAAAGTGTTTGAAGCATTTTGAAGCCTTCTTTTTCGTGGCAGCGATATGAGCCGTTGCCCGCCATTCATCACCTGTCTCACTACTCCAGGAAGAGACCAGGCTCAGGAAACAGCAGTGCAGAATGCGCAGAGATGTGCAGAGAATCGAAGAGTAGGAAAGGCATCTGGAAAGGCTTGAACTAAGCTCTCGACCCCAGTCATCTGCCCACAGTTTGCTGTACTCGAGGCGAGCTGGTGGCACCTCATCCCTTGCCTTTGGGGCATCTGTGACTCTCCAGACCTTGATGTCCAAGCCGCTTTTCTTCTTTTCAACCACCTTTTTGGACGGCGTTGTTGCATTCAGTCTGGGCCTGATTGGCTTCTTTCCATCCACTCGCTCCACAGATTTGATCTGAACCACGAAGTCATCTTTGCTAGGTGGCGTGGGTGGTGGTGGAATGACTTTAGCGCCTTTGGCTTTCGAAGCTGCCACAGCATCCGGAGTCACGTCTTGCGATTCGATCTCTACAGTGACATTGCCACCAGAACCAGGTGCCTTTGCCTCAATGGAGCGGTACACAACGTTCTTTGCTGATCCATTGTCAACGGAGAGGATCTGTGTCCTCACTGCAACTCCAGGAACTTCAGGAACGTCCACTTTCTCTGGGTCCTGGAACCAGCTCTGACAAATTTGTGCTGTGCCAGGCATTGTTTCTCTCAAACTGCAAAACTAACAGATTATTCTGTCCATTTCTGTTCATTTCTGTTCATTTCTGTCCACATTCATGCCACTGTGTTTTCTATGGAGTCCTTTCCACTATCGAAGAAACTTGAAACTGATGCTTCCAAGCGGGACCAGGCGCTTTGAAATCCTTGCCGTTGGCTTGGCACCTGTGTAACACGGACGTGGAATGGGAATGAACGGCGTGCAAAGATGTGAAAAACACTCAGCTTTGCCACCTCTTCATCCAACCTTGGGCCTGAACAAGGATCAGCCAAGCATCACCGTAAGAATTGAATGGCTGCTTCTCGAGAAATGAAATGCCAATTAAAATTCCTCTGGGTGTTGAAACACGCAAAAGAACTTTCTAGATCAAAGGTGGAGTTACGCTCGCTTCGAGGTTCAATTCTCTCATGTCATTACCTCCAATCTACAAATTAAGCCATCCAGGTTCTGCCCTGCCACTTTGGCTTTGCTGCAGAACAGAGGACAATATCTGTTTGCTTGTGTATCTTTTGTCTTTTGTTAGATCCCAAAAGTAAGGGTCCTTGTGAAACAAATTCTGTATATGACAACGCGCCTCGAAGGATGGAGGCCGCCTGGACAGGGATGAAGTTCCTAGAAGCTTACTTCATCTCACTTCCCTTTGTCGGCTTTCGCAGCTGTGACATGCTGTGGCATTTCTGCTTGGTGAAATCCCTCATTCCCAATGCTTGGCCAGGATTGGCCAGGCAACTCAGCGAACTCAGTCATGTTTCATGGAAGCACGTTGCAAGTCCAGCCTGTGTCACCAAGATTCCCAAGAATGCCACATTGAGCATCTCAGCAACAGTAACAGCATGATCTAACAGCTGTCAGCAACAGTACGTCTTATGAATCTTATGCCTTTCGACTTCCTTTTGAATTTTCGTCTCAGGCTGGGAGCTCCACTTGCATCATTAAATCGGAAGGGATTTGCAGAAGGCAATTGAAGTTGCCTCCCTTCCCGAGCCCAATTGGCTAAAATGACTGTGTCATCAGTGTGTCTAGCAAACACAATTCCAGGCACACTAGCGGTCACCTTGCTTTTTCAACGTGGTTCTTGCTGGCACAAAAAGAAGCTCGTAGATTAAATCAAAGTACGCGATCAAAATGTTCATAGCCACAACCGCCTGTGTTCTTTTCCTTCCTGTGCTGCTTCAGGTTCTTGCTAAGCATCAGGTCTTTTGAGGTACCAAGAATGAGCACTACAAAACCTTCGCTGGATGCCAATTGAGCCTTTGAATTCATTCATAAGGATCTGGAAAGAAGCGGAAGCTCTTCTGGCCTTGTTCCGCTGGTTTAGAGTCCTCGCCGAAAGAAAATTGACCGAGTTTGCTCGGAATGTGCGGCTCGGATGTTGGCATCTAAGCATTTACAGCGTGCAAAGCTGTGCAGTCAGGGAGAGTCCACGCTTTTGCGTTTCGGTCAGGATCTTTTGAATGTGCCCGCTGCCAAAGCAAGTCGGGATATTAGACGGGACCTCGAGCTCATCACTTCTATTCACATTCCACTTAATTACAAATTTAAGCTGGCTACGCAAAATGCTCGGCTTCTCAAGTGATGAGCTGGAGTGCCAAACTGTGCTTTCAGCTACAGACAGACTGCGATTGAGCTTGAAGTCATACCTCAGACTCAAAAGGCAGATCTGTCTTCAGCGCAAATTGGAGCTGTTTCTCCGAACTCCTGAAAGAGGTTCGGAACACATGAAACACAAACCTCTCAGTGCTAACCAACAAAGCATCGATGTTGACGCAGTCCCCCTTGGCGTAGAATGGTCCTTTGTCCAAAATGAACATGACATGAAGCATTCCTCTGTAGCAAATAAAGTAGAGGTAGGAAGCGACAAGCGGCCAGAATTGGAAGCACTCCGTTGTCTGCTCATACATCTTCGTGGGATAGCCAATCAAGGCTAGTCCAAGCAGAATGTTGGTCACTACAACCATCATCACACGCACCATTTGGCTGATCTGCATGTCTTGCATATCGCTGAGTTGCGCCAAAACTCCTCTTAGCTCACAGATTTTGCGCATGAAGACGTCTGAATCCAAACTCTGGACCCAGCCGCGCTCAAGCTCCTCATGCCACAGTTGACCAAGCCAAGACACCAAAGTATCCCGCAGTTTTGCTGTAGCAAACTGCAGTTGCTGACACCTGACAATGCCGTTGTTGTCTCTACTGTAAATATACAGTGACATAGGTTGTATAAGTTGTCTGTCGTTGTATCATGTATCTTTCACCCCATCTAAGGGCACTTGCATGCTGACATTCGGCAAATTAATGCGAAAAGATGCAAAAACAATTTTTAAAAATGCAAAATATGTTTTTCATTGCCTAATTCGGTCTCACCAAAATTCAGCTTAGACACTCTGCATCTCTAAGCAGGCCAACAGTGCGGAGGTCCTGTAGCACTCCTTCGGCGGAGGTTCCTATACTGGGTGCAAGTTTGAAATATCCCATGTAGTGAATGGCATTGATATACCTGTACCACTTGAACAGCATTTGGCGCTGTTCTTTTCCGATGGTTGGATCGTTCACTTTCCGGTACGAGCTTGCAACCACAAGGGCCACATCATGTAGGCGTCCTTGCACTTTGAACATGATTTGAAGCCACTGAAGCCAACGGCTTACATCCTGCCCGATCATGTATGTTATGAAGAAGGTGGGCAAAAACTTGAAATCATCCATCAGAACTGTAATGGTTTGCATCTTTGAGAGCCATGTTGTGTACCAATCTTCAACTTGAAGTAGAGGATCTACCTGTTTGTTCTTCTCCATAGTAGCTCTGACTTCAGCCAACAAGGCACCTACCATGCCCGTGGCGAGAGCAAAGATGAGCGCACTCACGGCGATGTGAGCCAGGCCAGATGTGAGGATGTATACAAGCACTTGGAGACTGGTCTGGAAATATTGGCGAAAGCAGGAAGACGCACGCGGCGGTAGCATGGCCTTTCCAGGATCGTAGCAAAAATCTTCTTCGTCTCTGAAGAAGCTCATGAAGCCCATTGACCCTCGCAAGAGCGCCATCTTCACCTCAACGAAGGAGGAGCTTCGACAAGCGACAAGTTTGGAGGTAAAGTCAGGCAGGGTGTAATTTGCACGATCATTCATTCGTCTCTGAATGTCACTGAGATCTGTGGGCTCCCAATTTGGATTGTCACTTTTGGAACGAGTGCACCAACCCTTGCAAGCCCTGAAACAACTGGGAAGAACTTGGTGGACGAAGGCCACTGTCAAAGCGGAGATCATGAAGAAGTAGAAGGTCGGAAAGCAGCCATCAACAGGAGGGAATTCTCGAATAAATCGTACTTGTTTACTGAATCTGATCCAGCTTCCCCACTTGAGACTACCTTTCTCCTTCAACCAACTGCAAGCTGCAGAATAAGCATCCCCGTCATAGTGCCGCCATAGGTCAAAGAGCCGATCATAGTCATCACTGTTCAAGCTGAATCTTTCTGCAAAGTACCTGGCATCTCCACTGTCCATAAATCTGGGAGAAGCTACTTTCAGCAGCCGTTTGGCCTCAAGCCGGCAACTGAAACCACCCTCTGGAGTTGCAGTTTCCGTAGCGTTGCATCCATATCGCTTAGGCGAGAACTGGATGGGAACGAAAGCACTACGTGGTACACCGTCAACTCCTTCTGATGGATAGTGGTGCTTGACCAGGATGTCTTTCTTTGATGCCCATGCATTCCAAATGGCAATTTGCTTGGAGAGGCGAGTCAGATAGACCGTAGACAGCGGCAAGCCATTGTTGGCGATTTGCTGTTCAATCACCCCCTGACTGTAGTGAGGATAGTCATGCAACACCTGGCCTAAACATCGCATTGTGCCATTTCGGCACAGCGGAGGCTGCCAAATGAAGTCGGTGCAATTCCATGCCGGAGATGCACAGAGATGACTTGGATCTGATTCTGCCTCACCTTTCTGGAATGAGCTGCTGGCAAAGACCCACTGCAGCTGTGGAGACTGCAGGTACTGGTAGAACTCGGCTTCAGGGAATCGCTCAATGGTGTGCCTCAATGTGTAGATGCCATCTTCAGCGAGCATCGAGTGACCCCCCGTGATCCTGGCATGTCCATTGTCAACCCATTTGTGAAGCTCCTTTTCCTTTCCTCCTTGCCAAACCTCGAAATTTGCATCTGCCCTGTC